AATTACAGTCCAGACCATCCTGCTTACTATCTAGCATACTGAGCTTCTCACACATGATGGCTACCATCTGATCTAGAGATATTAAACTCTGATTCATCCGTATATCACTGATCCACCAACCAATTTTAATGCTTTTTGGCCCATACAAATCACAGTTTCTGCATTCGTTGGCTCAAAAAAGGTTTTTTGGCTTGAACCCTGCAACTCTGAGTCTCCGGGGTAGCCCTGATGCATCCATTATCACTCCTATCCTATTTTTAATATTTGGCGAGGACTAAAAGTCATCTAGTGGACAAATCCGTCGGATGAACCTGTCTTGTGCAATTATCGTCTTTATGAAGCAAATGAATACCTCTCCCGAAATATGTTTGTGAAATGTGCGATGTGGCTATTATTTTTAGTAACAGCAGTCATTTGTCGTCGTTTTTTATTCAGATGCACTTTCACAAACTTGATCGTTTAATGATGCAAATCAACTCTTAACAGCACTATTATATACAACACTGTATGCATAATAGAATGAATGAATCTCATGTTATAATATTTGACTTCATATTGCAAATGCATTTTCTATACGCCCAATTCTACTATGTCCATTTGTCTGTTCGACGGCTCAAAACGGCAATAGCTTTTATAGAAAAATAAAGAAAGGCTGTACTACAGCTTTAATACCCTTCACGAATGCACTTGCTGAATCTGAAAATGTATCCGGGCAACGGTTTACTAGTTCCACGTTGTTTGATTTTCAATATACAACCTCCAAATCGAATTAATGTTACTTACAGAAAATAGTGTTTTTTTTTTTGCTGTAACTGACATCTATTCAATGGCTACTGCAATCTCCCGTGCTGTCTGTTATAGACTGAGATGTTTGATGTCAACTTGTAACCATATATCCCGAGAACTGAGGGACTAGTTCACATATTTACAGTCAGACAGACGGGCATGGGTAAATCAGCTCAGCTCGTGACATCGTGAACCGATTATTTATATTTTTCATGGTCCTTGACGTTTCCTTTACAGCTTATGTGGAAGGATCTGTTGAAATAATCAGAGTAATGTCTTTTTGTTCTAAGAGAGCTTTTACTGTGTCCATTTTCTTGTAGATTTAAAGAGTTGCAGATATATATCTCATCCTCGCACTCAACTCAATACTGGCTTATGCCGAATCTATTTTACAAAGTTTCTGAAATTTAGCGCTCATCGCTAAAGTGGTGTTGTTTTTGGAAATTATAATTTGGAGGCACTATCAGTTATGTTGAGTTATTTTAAAAAATCCGGCCGTCTTAGAGAAACACGCCATAGGTGGTTTTGAATTAATCTCAAGTTAATCTGATAGATTTGATAATCACACGTATGTCGCGAGCTGCTTGAGCAATTTTAATCCAATTCCTTTGGTCAGCACCGAGTATTAGTGAAATATACATATAAGGACTTAATATTTGACTTGTTATGTCTTGGCTAGTCATCATCAGGGCATTTGCATTAATAAGAGTTAATTTTGCGTTTAAAAACATTTCAGTTCTCTATACCGAAATTACAATTTAAATTTTATTTGAAAGTGTTGAAATCTGAAGCAAAAGCATGCAAATTTATTTTCCTATATATATATACGAGTATATATATTAGTATAGCTGCCAACGCACGTGCTGATTATTATTGCATAGGTATCATAAGCCAGCTTTTAAATGTTTGAAAAAATTATTTCACTCACATCAACAATTGTAGGCAGCACCTGCTTGTAAGGAAAGCTTACGTACTCCTCCATGTATTACGATAGAAACTCGTTTTGATTGCTTTTAAGGCATAACTTTTACTCCAATCGCAAGCGGTTCGATTCGACATCAGCATTGAATGTTTGCTCCCAGTGTCACTTCAATTATAGTGTAAATTCAAAATAAAATAAAAATTATATTATAGCACCTCTTTGAGCTTAAGCAAATTCACCATTCAGCTGATCAGTCAATTAAACTTTTTTGAATACCGTGAGCACTTGTGGTGCCACAGCGTGTTAGCGCTAATTAAACAGAAAACGTGCGACAAAGCGACGATGGTAAGGCAGGATCGGTTGGTATCAAAAATGTCAGCTATTTTATCGAATTGCATGCAAACGCAAAAATAAATTTGCATTTTTTTAATTATATTATTTTTAAATAAGAAATCCAACTTTGTTATAAAATGAAAATTATTAGAATTTAAATTTAATTTTAAAATTTGTAACATTCTAGAACTAAATTTTGAGTAACAAAGTTTAGCACTTTCTTTTTGCCATTTGGCTACTTTATCGCCTTCTCCTTTTAACTGTTTTATTTTACTCTCTTTTCGAAATTTTTAACCAGAAATTTGTCAGATGTGCAAAATCGTTCTCTGGTGATTATTGCTTAAATAAATATATTAACATATATTTAAGGCAACACCAAAATAACATACTTCTGCAGTTTACTTGAGAAATTAACGGTGATAGCAGGTCTTTGGTGAAAACTTGACACATTCTCTTTCAATAACATATCCACCTTCCACTTTTCTCATATTTTGCCTGTGTTAAGCAAAAGATTGATTGCGCAATATAGTTAACAGACATACGTATATTATGCGTTTAAAATATTAGTTATTGACATTTTATTCTTCGCGCCACAGGCTTTAGCCATTAAATTGGTTTGTCACGCTCGCCATTGGGCGCAACTTTCGTTTTCACTAGTTCCCAATTTCCATACAGGTAATTGTGTTAATTGCCCGCAATTCAATAAGTATGCGCTAAAGCGTGAAGTGTCAGCGATTCGGCGTAAAGTGCTTATGCGCCAGCGCAGGCATTCATGGCATTCGTGTCCCAATAATGCTATGCACTTATGCAGTTTTATCACTTTTATGTAATAGCACTTGTTACTCACATCCATATTCGGGTGGTAATTGCTGCGCAACAATGAAACTGCAACGAAAGACTCAAGCGACGAACTTTAGTATTAAGGCGGTTATTGAAAATGATAATTGCTTGGTGCTAAGAGCTTTTGCTGCGTTCAAAGCGTAAGGGAAACTTTTCACGCTGGTTATTCAATTTCGATAAAGCCAATTGGCACTGAAATAGTCTTTTAATGCTCATGATTTAGCTTGTTGTTATTTGATTTTCACTTGCATTGATATTTACTAATGCTTTCCACCAATAATATAACTACTCCAAAGAAACACTCTTTTATATATTTTAAAGAAATTTTTAATAAAAAACCCTTCAAAATTTAATGCTTGTACATATTAGATTGCTAAGTGCTTTTAGTTGGACATTTTACTGCACCAAACAAACGATCTTGTAAGATACAAATCATTTTAAAAATTTTGATTTTGCTTATTAATTATTTTTCTTTTATCATATTGAAACATTTCTTTCATACAAAAGCTCGAAGAAAGCGGTTAGGGATCTTTATTCTTTTAAAGGGAAATGTGTACCGAAATTGAATTATTAAATATTCTTAGTTTGCTTACCCCACTAATGTAGCAATAATGAATGTATCTAACATAGGCTTATCAGGTTTCCAACGAAACTAGCTGTGCTTATGTTTAATGGTATAACTGAAATAGTTGCAATATTATTTGTTTAAAAATTACACGGAGAAGTATACGTATGTGCAAATATATCATCGTTCATATTATATTTTTTAAACATGAAATGTAAAATTAATGAGCTTTTTGCAAAAGCATAATATATATGGGGTTTTACCACCCCAAATGTTGCAAAATTTTAAATTTTCATTAAAAAAAAATAAAACTATGTTTTTTACTTTCACATCAGCGATCAATTGTAAAAGCCTTATAAAAATTGTCTACTTTTAGGCGAGTACAAAGCGCGATTCAATGTTTATTTAAAATCGTTTTAGTTATCTTCTCATCTTATGAAACATAGCAACCTTTTAGGCGGATCTGATGAGTATGACAGTTATGGGTTTTAAAATTTGAAGATTTTTCTAATCATCGCCGACGATGTTAACTACGTTGACTAACAAAATAGATATTTATATTATTGAAGGCTATATAAACTTTCATGGCTGCACGCTGCACAGCTGTTCATATCACAATGTTGACAATATGCATAGATGCCAATTGCGCATTGACAAGGCTGTCGAGAATGTAGCATAGGAATATTAAAGAATATATTTCAAATATCTCTAATGGCATTACATACGCTATACCATCTGACCAAAATTGACCCGCATTGACAAAACGTACACTTCTTTCATTTTAATACAAGTCTTGAAAGTAGCCTTCTACGCCGACCCAAACATGGCTTTCCTGAATCGAATTTTCCATATACTTATTAGGATCCTCGGCTGGGACGGCCATAAGTATCTTTAGTGAATTTGCAGCCCCATTCGCTAGATTGTTAAATAGCTTCGACGTCATTTATAAACCCACGACCAGTAATAATGCGTTTCATGAATGAAGGTTCCTCAGCTTTATGCAAACAACGTCGTTGACTCACCTCATACCCAAAATATTACCCACAATGCATTGAACCTATTCATAACAGATGTTGAGATCCTCTGCTAGCATTCTAAATCCAATAACACGATTTTCAAACACTGTTTTCTTACCTTTTTTATGCTACCTGCATTAACAGGAGTGGCTTATAAGAGACTTAGCCTGTTTGTTTTACTCTCCCATTACAGAATAAAGTAACCTCGCTTAGTCCCAGTGTTTGTTTCACCTTATTAGTAAATTGGAGGTCAGATCACGCGACAGAGCCTACAGACTATGTGATTATAATTAATATATTTATCAATAAGATGACATAGTCTTAATTTATTTCATTCACTGATTACCTTTTAGCCGGCAGACAATAAATGATATCAGAACACAATTTACTGTCTGTGGACTCTCTGGAGGATGGTGGACTATGCTAGCATATACAATTTAAGGATGTGAACGAATTGATCAAAAACAATTGTACCACTTAATATCTGTAAAAAATTATTCCAGCCAGTCTACAGAAATTGCTTCCATACTCAATTTGTACTTTATTTACGATTAGTTAATTACAATTACTTTAATTTAATATATAAATAGGCTTAAAACTATTTACAACAGCGGAATTATAATAATGAAGTGATCAGAGAGTTAATAATAAATACTTATAAAGAAACCCTGACGCAGTGACTATTGTCTTAAGACCCACATTCCTTACTGATTACCGTAAACAGGATTTGAGGGATAGTTTGTTGGTAGCATGGCAATCGGACCTTGATTATTGAGTTCGTTTTCCCCTTCGTTTGACGGTGTAGGCGCATAGGCGCCGTAGGGGTCACTGCGGCTCTCCCAACCGTTTGAGCCACCATGTCCACCAGCGCCATAACCCTGAACTTGACCGTTGTGTATGTGCAGGTGAATTTCCTTCGAAGGGTGTTGCTCGCTGCCGTGTGAATACGGCGCTGACGGTGCTGAGGCACCCCATCCGCCTGTTGCATGTGGCGTCCAAGTCTGATAATTCCACTGGGATGCAGAGTGTTCATAACCACCGAAGTTTGATTTCAGTGTAATGAACTTGGCAAGTATGGCGGCGGCATTCATTAGCACAAGCAATTTTACCAGGAATAGTGTTTTCATGCCGAGCATTATGAGGAAAGCCACCATAGCGGTGAGTATGCCAAATTTGAAGATGAGCGGAATGAGGGCCATTTGTAGGCGACGAATTTTACCAAAAGTACGACTCTCTGAAAGTGAAAAAGGAATGATACTTTGTGTGCAAATTAACAGAGATTTTTGGAAATTGTTCATTATTTTTTTATATTTTCTATTTTTTTGGCAAGGAACAAACATTTTTATGTTGTAAAAAAATCATAAAATTTACTTGGAAATAATATATAGTTGTTGTTAATAAGATGTGTTATTAAATACCATATTTTATAGCAGTTTGTCATATAAATGTACAATAAAGATCAAAGCATTATTATAATGGACTTTAGTCAGATCGGACTGACTACTTTTCAATATAAAAATATATACTATTCGAGTTGAACCTGAATATAAAGGCTTATGAATAAATAAGTTATGATTCTAATAAGAGGTAAGAACAAATGTTAAAAATGCATTTATGATGTTCCTATGTGATTCTATTACATGACATTCCATAATGTGATGTTTCATCACATGACCTTGCATCATATGACTTGTGCCGCAAATTTATTTATTTATGAATATGAAAGTTGTGATAATTTACCAAAATGGGTTTAATACGACCTCAGGGCAACTAAGTTATTTCTTATAATACCGAATGTCACAGAAAAACTGGATGATGAATTATACAACAAAAACGCAAAAGCAAAAATATTAATCAACAATTGAAGGCGGGAGTAAATGGCATTTCGTCCCTTCGACATCATATGTTCAAATTTCGATATTTAACAAGTTTATTTATGTTTTCACGCGATCTGAGGCATTACGTTAAGTGATAAAAGAGTCAAAATCAATCAAATTTGTGTGTTGAATTGACAGCATTGACTTATTTCAAGTCAGCTTTTTGAAGAAATTGCCAAAAATATCAATAAAAAATGCAGTGAATTTTGGAAAAAAATGTTTTTGCTAATGTAATTCTGAGTTTCTTTTAAGCATCTTCGCTTCGCAGCTATTGATAGTAGCGTGCGATTGAAACCATATCAAATTTCTCAAGCAATCGAAAGCCAATATTGCTGCGAAACAGCAAAACAAAATCATTTGAGATGAATCAGAGCTGAACATAATCACCAGAGGCTTTCGCGTAAAGGCGCAGGCCAATTCAATTTTATTTTGTTTACTTTTTCGTAATAGATATTTCTCATTGCAGTTGATGCATTGCAACCAATTGCGGCTAATATATTTTTCTCTCTAATATTACATTGATTTAGCATCGATATTTTTTAGCTATATGAAGAAGCGTGTTAAAAAGTCGAGGCATTATTATTGACCCAGAGTGCCAGAGAAACGAAAGCAATAGTTGAGAATGCAATGCACTTGTCTAAATGATCGTTCGTTGTATACTATGAACTGTGCACTTATGTAAGTGTGCCTGAATAAGTAGCAGACACGCATACTCATATCATTACACAAAAGTATCACAATTAAATGTGTACTTCTTCAATATCAGCCTATGCCTTTTTGCTATAATTAATGTGTTAACAGCTTTTGTTCATTCACAGTGGTGCAAATAAGTAAAAAGAAAGTCACAAATTGAAAAAAGAAAAATTTGACTACACTTGTTGATAATTAGTACCCAACAACAATACCTACAACATAATCAAAAAAGGTCATTTCACATACTCTTCAAATTGACAAAAGCTGACATCCGAATGGGCAAATAGTTACTAATGAGCACCTTTTTATGTTCACAACTAATTGAAATACGTTTGTACTTAAATACTTATGTAAACACTTATGGCTGCTTGTGCTCAGTTGAAGACAGGTGCTGCTTTCATTTGACCAACTGCCCTTCGGTCTTGAAATGACCAGTATTAATATGAATACAATTGAATTGTTATAACATGAATGATATATAATTCATGAATATCAAAGTCAAAAGTTCAAGAGTACAAGTAATTAAAGATTTTGTTTTGGGCCAACAATTTTTGTTCAATTTATCTGAGAAGAGTTAAATTTATTATATCTATTTTTCTGCTTTCCTTTTTCAATGCATTGTTGATGTCAAGAATAATATAATAGTAAAATACGTTCAACCGCCACAATGTCATTAATGACAAGAAATTTAATGCGAAAGTGAAAATAGAAATAAAGAGTGGAAATTTGATGTTTATTCTTATTTAATTGCGCTCAACATTTTCTGAAATTTTCATTTCAAATATCATGATTACCGATATGTTGAATAGTTCTAAAAATCCTTTGAATGACTAATTAGCATTATTTGTATTTGAGCAATTATCAATACAATTTTGTGCTAAAAGTAATTATGTGTTTTAAGAAAAAATAGGTTAGATTAAAATATCGATGTTAACAGGGATCAGCTGGTAAGCCCGGGCCGTTTTGGTACTACAAACTTAGAGCCTATCACAAGTTTAAAAGCTATGGCTGCCAAGATATTTCAACTGAATAAGAAAATATGGAGGATAATGAGGCATAAATTGTCACAGATGTGTGAGGTGGAGACACATATAATAATTGTGCCCGACAAGACATTTAGCCTCACCGCATGCATGCCTATTGGACAGTGTCCAAGAACTCCTATAACTGCATCAAGACCAGCGACCAGCGCCTACTTAGCAAACGCGAAGTCCATAGATCCAGATATGAGTAGAGCAAGGACACCCTCTCTCGTGAGCTAATCGGCTTTAAATTTCAATCGAAAAATAATTGCTGTATCGGTTTTGATCTTGCAGGACATTTAACTAGCCTCCCCAACGGTCTCAATTCACTACATATTCATATAGCAAACGACCGATTTTATTCCAACTATGATTCATGATGCCAAGACCTGAAAATCAACGTAATTGCCAACAGATATACTTATAGTTTCAGTTTGTTCAAAGTTCAAAGCTTGACTTTCCTCTTAACTTCTGGCCTATAAGTAGAAAATATATCAATGATGCTAAAAAAATCCTGCGGATTTAGCCTATATGCGGTATATTACAGGTCAGAAAATTTTCAACTAACTGGTTGTGTTATGTGTTAAAAATTTTTTTAAATCTTAATGTAAATCTCTAAGTCTTTGTTATTTTCTGTGTGGGTACACTATACTAGGCGATGTGGTCCATTTATTTTATGTACCACATGAGTCATGCACAAACTCACACCTAAGGATAAACACAGACAAATTGTGCAACACCATATTTCATCCCTCAAACCGCAAGCACTTGTGTCAAGAGATGTGTTGGAAGATAAGTACTAAGCACAGACACACATTTGAACAAGTAAGCATTTAAGTGCTGAAACAAATGCAAGTGAAATGTGGTTGCACTAACGGTCGCTAAAGTTTACGTAATAATGAATGACACGCATTAAAGCTTCTTTACACACTTCATTTGTTGCGTAAAGCCGTCTAAAGTACTTTGTATGTATGCGTAGTAAAATCATGAAGTGTCTCATGGTGCTGAAAATGAAAAGCCGTAACCAAGACATTAGTGGTACTTAGGAAGTGAACATTTAAAAAGACACGAGAAAAACTGGCACAAAAACCAAAACAATCGTTCAAAATCATTGTTAAGCAAAGTAAATTTTTTTCCCTTTTTTCCCCTTAAACATTTGCATCATTTGTTTTTCGTTTAGCGCACTTGATTGACTGATTTGTGCACTCACCTACAGCCGCCATCGCTGCATCGGAAACATCACGCACTTCACGCACCAGCGCCTTTTGTGCACCGGTGGTTGCGTCGGCATCGTCATCGCCGAAAAGGCTTTCACTCAAATCATCTCTTATCCAGTTCCACACATTGCGCACCATACCCCAAACACTGAACGATGCGGTGGCGTCTTCATTTTTCTCTGCCGCCGTCAACGCTGTTTCACTCTTCGCTGGTTTGTGAGCACCCGCTGCCGATTCTGCCTCACCATCCTCATCCTCATCCTCCTCCTCATCATCATCATCGTCGTCGTCAGCAGCTTCAACATCAGCCTCTGTGTCCGCTGCAGCCGCATTATCGGCCTCAACTTCTGCTTCATATTTCAATTCATCTTCATCATTTGCCTTCGACTCAACAATTACAGCAGCAGGTGCCACCACAACAGCTGGCTCCTCTGTTGCATGGCTTAGCTCCACTCTGCTGGAGTTTATATTGTTCGCACTGGCATCAAGAGCTTTTGTTGTTATCTTTGCCGCACCAGCTTGCCAGCTAAGCAGCGAAGCTGTGGTCAACAGCAGCGCTAATGCGATGGTTCGCGCGAAATTTGTGCGTGACTGAAAGTGAGGAAAAAAATGTCATGCTTTAGCAATATTTTCTTTAAAAGTGAAAAGTAAAATTTAAAAATATATATATTAAATGTCCATGAACCTAAATTAAGCCAGGTCAGTTATTTGAAACATTTTCACCAACTGTTATTCTCCCTGTCAATAAAAAGACTTAAGCAACGAACTTGCTTTGCTGCACCTAGGAAAACTGCTTTATCATGGCTTACAATTTAACATGGTGAGTATTTAATTCAATCTGCTATCTTTTAATTACATGCTGACAAGCTCGATAGCCTAGTGAGGGAATAACTAATTTCTTTTCCGTTGTATGCTCTTGAGTACGCGTACGGCTGTGTCATGTAATCTTTATTTCTTGCGGACATGCCCAGCTATTAATTATGTCATCTGCAGTTAGTGTGATCGTTTTGCTTAAATTACACATTACATGTTCATGTACTCTTATATAATGGCATAAAGTAAATGCATGTGGTAGCGGAAATTGGGTTACCAGCTTCATAAAACTCAAAGTAAATTGATGAGATAAAATGGTCGTCACCGTTTAATTACTCATTTATAAACACATCGTAATTTCACAGTATTTATTTTGAATGTAGCATCTATATTCGAATTAAAACGGAATGGAAATTTCATTCAGCAATCATTGTCGATTTTTTGCGATATCTAAACCAGAGCAAAGATCTCTGCATATCTTTTTGTGCTTCAAAAATGCATCTGTCAAAGGTATTATAGCCTCAGTTCAGCCAAAATGACTAGTTTGCAACATAATAATAAAGCATTTAGTTTAGAGAAATTGAGAACAGCTAAAAGCGACTTTAAAGAAATTAAAACAAACGAAAAAATTCAAACAAAGTGAGCTAACGGTAGCAATACAATATCATTACATCGAAACAACAAAAATTATATTCAAAGAAAGGGAATATTTTTGCTTCAGCTACAGCTAAGCAAGCAATTAAGTGCTGCTTTGCACGTCAATTAAATGTATATTGACTTTGTTCTTTACATTTCGGCAAGTGAAAGCTCACCAAAAATTAAAAGCGATAATTGCGCTAAAATGGAGCACACATTTGTATGTAAAAGAGTCAAAAATTTGCGAAAGTGCAACATTAAGTTCGCCTTTGGCAGTCTTTAGTAAACCCAATTAGGCGGGCGATTAGCACTGTTAACAAGCAGAAAATGCGTCAGAGCAAATACAACAGTTGTAAGCACAACAATGAAAGTTTATCTGAAGATCCCATAGCACAAAACGTAAAAGTTTAACCTTTATGAATTTGAAAAAAAGGCGTAGTCCGCAAACATTATGAAATAAGCAAATATAAATAAAAAATGAAGAAAAAAATATGAACTCATTTAAATAAAATAAACCATTTCTTTAGCCAAGTATGGACACGTAGTTCCGAAAAAACGCCAAATGAAATTGAAAGCAAGCGATTGAAGCTGAAACTCAGATGAGTTTGCTTTTGCGGGGAGAGTGCAAATATTTCGTTTTATAGTTATAGCTTTGTATTTAAGAGTTATCGTTTGTGTGTGTATTTGTTTTGAAGAAAGTGAAACAGCGCGAAACAGCAACAAAGTAACAAATGCTGCACCGCGAAGACAACCAAAGAGGCAGATTTACGTAAGCATGCAAATTGGTTGGAAATTCGCACTCAATTTAGTCACTCTCTTACTAAAAAGTAGAAAAAAATATATTTTTATAAATACAAAAACACTTATATATTTCAGTGACGGCGCAACTGCTTTCAATAAGTTTTGTAGTTGAAAACTTAAAATTTTGTTCATTCATTTTTGTTCTTGAGGATACTTTTGTCTACTCTGCAAAGCTCTCTTAACAAATAAGTGTGTCAATAGAATCAGCTCACGTCAATCTAAGCAGAAAAGTGTTCTCAAATGTTTAATTTGCATAATTGCTGCCGTCATGGTCCGTATTTAGCTACTCTTATTTTGCCAGCCGACAGTAAATATACGAAATATATATGAGTTCGTTTACATACATATTTATTTTACTCTTTCTGCGCAATTTTAAAAAACGTAAAATTTATGTCAAACGTTCTCATCAATGAAGCCAAATGTTGGTATTTCCATGTAAATGTCCACATTTATATATACATATATATATATAGTACATATGAATATATGTATGTAACTTAGCATAACTATTTATGTACAGAGTATTCAACGGTGCATGATTTTGATGGAAATTGTTTCGATTCTTTGCATAAATTCACACCGCTTTCTACTCGCTTTGTATTCGGCGTGCGAATTCATGTCAACGCCAATTAATTTTGACCACCTATAGGCACGTCTTATTTCACCTATCTACGGTGCGATTGTGCTGGTTTTGGTTGACCAAGTTTTTCGGACAAATGCTTAAGAAAGTTACAGAGTTGAAGCATAAATAAATAGCAGGAGAATTACTATTATTGAAATGTTGTACAAAAACATTATAGTTTGTGCTATTGCAAAGGGAATGAAATTTCAACTATTTTTGTCACAACCAAAAGCGTATGAGACCGAGATAACAATACAAATTTGAAAATTTCCTTTTTTGTACCGATAACATCAAAAAAATATGAAATCTTATTATTAAAAATATTTTATTGACCTAATTATTGAAATTAGTTAGTAAAAGATAGCTTGTGTAATACAGAATAACCTATGTAAAAGCGAGTTCGTTTCTTAATTCTTAAGTAATGAGCACAGTATTACTTCTTAAGCGTTTACCTTTTAAGCGAGACAAGAACGCTCGCTAAAATATCAAAATGTGTATAAAAGATACATACTATAATCAGCAAAAAATAGTAAGACTCCTTAATTTAAATTTTATGCCAAACCCATCCCTTGAAATTTTTTTTTTTTTTTTTTTTTTTTTTTTTTTTTTTTTTTTTTTTTTTTTTTTTTTTTTTTTTTTTTTTTTTGAGGTTGCTATGACTATCAGTGACATGTGTTCCAAATATCACATCAAAAAAATCATTCGTGTTTAATAAACGCATGTCTTTCTGGGGAACATAAAGTGCGATTTTTACGATGCGTGAAATTATTCAAGAAAGAAATTCCCCTAAATGTGTATGCTAATTAAATTTGCGCATTGATTCTTCGTAATTTTTTCATAAAACCTTCAACCACTATCGTGCAACCACCGCATTCTCCTGATTTAGCGCTGCGTGACTTCTGTTTATTTAGCAAACTCAAACGACGGCTCCGTTCAAACCGTTTTGAGATAATTGAAGAAATTAAACGTGAATAGCAAAGCGCTTTGAGGGCTATCCCAGAAACTGACTTTAACAACTTTTTCGAGAATTGCAAGAATGGTTGGCACAAGTGTATTGGGGCCAGGAGAGATTACGCTGAGGACTATCAATAGATGTTGAAGAATAAATTAAGATTTTTAAATTATGCACAAAGTCTTAAAAATTTTTGTTTTTAGGATATAGATTATAAAAAAACATGTTAAAAATTAAAGTTTTTTAACAAGATTCAACAAAAAAGTTCCAAAATGTCTTACGAATAATCAAAATATTTAACAATTTTCTGGTACACTGCTATTAACGAGTATTTGTCTTTTCTCTCTCTCCCTCTACTTTCATTTCATTCTTCCAACATTATAATGGCACGTGCCATTCACTCAACAGTTTTGCCAATAATTTTCGCTTCTAAATCAAAAGTGAATGTAAATATAAATAGCTCTTGTTGATACTTACCCAGTTACCCGATTCCATATAAACGTATTAGAATAACAAAACTATTTATTCTTTCCAACAATAATTAAAATCCTCAATGGCAATCTAGCACATCATTAAGATATTGAAAGAATTTCACGCATTTTTAACTGTGTTTAGAAATTTTGAACGATTCAGACTTTGTGACCTAAAGAGAAGATTGATTTAAAAGAAATAGAAGCATTCTTCCTCTGTTTTCTTTCTCATTCATTGCTAACAGCCAGATTAGCTTAAATGGTGCTAAACAAGGTCGTTAGTAGTTCTGTAAATCGATTTAAACGGTGTTCTAAACAAATAATTTGAAAAGCGAATGGAATATTTTACTTTCAAATATACTATAATTGCAATAAATTAATAAAAAATTGCAATATTTACTAAAGCTAAACACTCAAATAAATACAGAAATGAATCATGTCACTAATATTATCCAGCGCAAAACTAGTAATTAAGCTGTCAACAAATATTTGCGTGTGAACGTCAATACAATGATGGCAAACAAAAATCAAAAAGGCTTTAAATTAATAATAAAATTGTAATAGAGTTTGAATGCAAAAGAAAGCGGCAGTTAACAGTAAATAGTGACGATGAGCATGGCAAAATGGCAAGAAATGCTTTTCATACACATATGAGACTGTAACAAAAAGGTAGCACGCCAAAAAGTGGGTAGAAACGAGGTAAAAAGGAGCAGGGAGAAAATGAGCGCGAAAATAATGAATGTGCAAAATTTTAAAATAAAAATAAAAAGAGAGAAAAATAATCCTATGAAAATATATATACTGAGCAGGTTCATAAAAGAGATATATATTTGAAAGCTAACTGTTAAATTTACTTAAAATTCGAAAATGTACATACAGATCTTACACATCTTAAACACTATTTTGAATATTGCTGCATAGATAAAGCTAATCAATTGTGTGAACGTTGTCACTATTTCTTAAGCAAGTATGATGGAAATTCCACATCAGTCATATCGAAGACCATGGCCGAAAATCAACTTCAGCGATTTTAGTTTACAGCAGAAATATACGTATCTCCTCCGTAATGACGAAATCTTCTTTTCGTGAAACAAGTTAATAATTTCTATTATGAACCGTCTGCGCTGTGTAAAGTTACCATCTCGGAGCTCTCAAATGCAATTTTATCAAGAAACTTGACACAACAGTCGCGAGTGAACACCATTGGGAATCACCAAGGTCTCAGAAAATTAGGTTATCACCTTTTATTAGGTGTCACCTCTTTCAAAGTAGTTTAAAGAATAATCCTCTTGAACTTAATGATATCTTCAGGATTTGTAGGAATGATCATTGGTTTATGAAAATAAAGATATACTAGCCAACTTTAAAGCCTATTTTGAAACAAAAACTTAGACAATTCCACAATAAATGGTAACGAAATCTGAATAAAGGATATGTTTCCAAAAATATGTACCAAAAATTAATTTTTCTTCACTTCCATATGAACTTTTCAGTTCGCTGTTGTTCAAGTCCCTTATATTTTAAGTTATTTGTAGAAAGAATTTAATATTCTATAACTTCAGACTGTTTGCTTTATTTTAAGTCTTTTGACAAATATTGAAAAAATTGTTAAAATCAATCGGAAAATTACATAACTCACACATCATTTAATCCACTAAAACTCTACAAATATTTTTCAAAATTTATGTCGACATAGTTTTCGCTATAAACAACTACAAAAAGTCCTTTTTATCGTACAAAATGTTTACGATTCACATTTCTACACTTTTGTACACAGAAAACCGACATAACAGCGGCTACACCTTTGTTTACTTTTACCACAGCAACAATGCTGCAAGTCCACAATAAACTTCAAATGAGGTTAATGTGCCACAAACGTGCATTTTGCATGCCAATCAAAACATTAAAAGAGAAGGCCGCCTTATTTATATTTTTTCAACTTTTTAAAAACATTTCTTGAAATGAAATTTTCTCTAACTACTCACCATTTTCTAAAATCCTTGGAAAAAGCACACACTTAACAGTTATCGTTTGTATGAAGTTAGAATTTTTTATACAAAAATTTCTAAATTTATTTTTAGTTCTGTACACACTCAAAAATTATTCGATTATTTGTTCCAAATTAATTGTTTTTGTTTTGTTCCTCGTAAATTTCGTATTCACGCAACGTCTGTTCGACTTTCTCGCACGCTTCACAAGTTCACGTCAGTAAAGCGGCAAGCACACGTTAATGCTCAACGCAAGTAAATTCTTCCTCGATCGAAATCACGGAAACTGAAATGTTGGCCGCTCGCCACCAACGCCACCAAACCTGCATATGACTACCACAAAGCAAAGCTGCACGTTCCGTTTCGGTCAAGCCGCACTCGAAGACTGGTTCGCTCATCTGCACCAAGTCACCAAGACAAGTTGGCTGCCGCAGCGACTCACATACACACGTAGCACCAACTCCATCTCTCCAAAAGTCATGTTAATATGGATTTGAACATTTCTTTACAAATTTCTTTTGCGCTTTTCCCAAACATTCACACACTCACCTGCAGGCACGCACGCATATCGCACGCACACATTGATGTTAGCTCTTACAACATTTGTTGAAATTATTTTAAACGCTTTTCGAAGATCTCCACTGCTTCATCTTGTATTCCTCGCCAAGAGCGATCCCAATTACAGCTGCTGAGCTATGCTGAGTCGAGCTTTTACGCCACACTGCACTTAACATAGTTTGCTTCACTTGTTGCTTTCGGCTTAGCATCTCGGTGACACAACAGCAACGGCATGTCTACTCAATCAACAACAACAAAAATAAAGTCAACAGCGTCTTTCACAACTGTTAGACGTTTTTCGTCTGGCACTTTCTTCACGCATTTTGTGTACTTTGTTGTTGTTGCTACTTGCTTTTCGTTTACCACCAATCACTTTTTACTCCACTTTGGCACTCATATGTGGCTCTGCCAGTTTTTTCCGCGTGACACGAGCTTTCCGCTTGACCGGCTGCAGCTTCAAGTTTGTTATGAATGAGCATGTGAAGCAAAAATGTGATCAACATGCTACGAGACACTTATGTCAACATGTATGTGTGTGTATTTAATTAATAATTTATAATTTGTGGCGTCATTACAGTTGCGATGGCAGAGTGTTGTTTTTCATCTAGAGTGGCTGATCAAGTTGTTTGGTATGTTTCTAGTGATGACGGCGTGACTTAACATAATACATGTCTGACAAAATTTGCTAGCATTAGTTACTCCAGTTTTGGATGATTCCTGTTAATAATTTTGCTTCATAATTAAGTCAATCGCAAGTAAGCCTGTGAAAGGTTTACAAGAGGCAATATACTTTTACTTGGAAAAATACTACCGTGTAATGTCTTAAAAATATCTTAAAAAACATCTCTGTACACTTGCTCTTGTGATCTAGTTCAGTTGGTAATCCAAGGTTCACCTAAAGGAATAGGCGCGATGTCAGACGATCACCCTAACTACTTACCTACTTGTGATTTAACCTTAAGAAACTTAGTAAAGTGGATGGAGTCAGAATAACATCTATGAATCCGAATCTTAAATAAATAAAGCAGCTGGCAGGTGGAAAGAACTTAGGTGTGTTAGCAAATTAGGCGAAGTGTTCGACGGCGTTTTGTTCATCTTCACGTTTGTAGGCAATTACAGTACGTCGTTCTTGCGGCCTCCCCTTTAAACCAAGCATATTCCTAATTCTGCCTGATTTATTTAAACGCCTGACTATAAGTATGAGTAGTTTGTTTCTTTATAGGAAACAATTGAAGAACAGCTTTCAAAAACGAAATCTAATTAAGGTCATCTCAAAGTAGGCATTGCCAAGCCGTCGAGTGAATTTTTTTTTATAAAGTTATTTAAATATTTCCATTAAAAGGTAGCGAAATTATATTTCCCAAATTATTGAAAGATTTTCCGTACTTTTATTTATAGGATTCTATATGCACGAATTTATTCGAAATCCGAAAGAAGTTGTTAGTTTAAAAACTTCTATATAAATTACAAAAATATGGATTTTTATGAGTGCTATGATTATAGCGAAAAACGTTTCGGAATGATTTTGTCTGACCTTTTCGATACGGTCTTCCGCAGACTTAGCGACAGTTTGTTCTATTCTGCTTAAAATTACTTTAGACTTTTATTAATATGAATATATTCAATAGTATTTATTTTGTTGGAAATATTCATATATATTTATGCCGATATTAAATAAGATCCATTTGTGGCGTTCCGAGCTCTTCTGCCGTATCCAGTACAAATACGTTTGAATATTGCCACACTCAACTCAACGGGAAAGATTTCAGCTTAGGCACACAAAACTAAGAAATGCACTTTGACTAGTTAAAAAATACGTATGGAAAAATGAAGATATATTTATTTATTTATTTATTTAAAAGAGAACTAATTATAAATAACTAATCCACTTGTAAGAATCAGCACTGGCTGCCAGGGCCTTCGGCAAATGAAGATACATATACGTATACAATGTTTAGTAATTATTACTTCAAATATATGAAAGAATATAATTCTTTAATGCCCAGAAAATACATTATTCGTTTATTTAGTCGATTTTCGTTTTCACAGCATTGCATAACGGTTTTTTGAACATTCATCGTTACATCACCTAAAGTCTTCTTCAATCACTCATAAAAATTTTACGAGTTATTATCAATAGCAAACAGTTAGAATGTCATTTCAAATTTGTATTCGAAAACGATTATGGAAATGTTAGAATATTTTTTAAGTATGTATATGATATGAAACCGGTAATATTAACACCGTTATTTTGTTGCAACAAAACTTACCCACAAATATGAATGGACTGCTACAATGAAACCGTACATTATTTGTTGCGTTTTCAATTACAACAACTTCAACAATAGTGTCATAATTTCACACTGACCGTGACACAGCTTGTACGTAAGGTCAACGTTAACAGCCATTCATAAAAACGTCACTGACAACATGGTGCAATCAAGCGAATGACATGTCCACTAGCAACCCAGTAGGAACATTTTAGCTACGTAATAAGAAATTATATTTTCGAATATTAACTTTATTTGGGTTAAGCAGAATAGGAGTTGATAACCGAAACATTGCCCTAAATGGACTTTAATATATAAAACCTTTCCTTCTTTTTAGAACTAAGCATATACTATACTTTTAACGGGACTAGTCTAGTATATATATCTTTAATTCTGATTATTTTTATTTCATATTCTATTCGACTTGTTTTTCTTCAAAAAAAATTATATTATACGTTCTTAAATAATATATTTTTTTCCACAGGGTACTTCTAACAACAATTGATAAAGCGAGTAGCTTTCGTGGTTCCAAATCAGTAAATCTTCAAAACACATTGTATATGCGGTGTAGTCAACCATTGTCTGTGTGTTCAAATGGATTTGGTTGTGTTGCATTGTTATGTAAAATTATTTGCCGGCTAGACCTAATGCACCTCTTTGCCGCTGCCTTAAAGTTGATTACGTTTAGGTTTGTGGTTTGTTTTCTCACACCTGCTCTTTACTGTTGTTATAAGCATAATTTCTTATGCTTCAGTAATATCTAACAGTGCATTAGCGATCATCTGGCCAATAACCCGAAATTCGGGTGAAGAGAGAATTACAAGTATATGAGTGCGGTAAACCGTGAGGTTCTGTTTTTGCTTTTCATTTAATTGAATTGTGCAACGAGACTAATACGGGAGTTTACTTTAATCGAAGGGTGCTACATACTGACATGCAATGAATGTGTCCGGGATAAACTTTCACAAAATCAGTTTATATACTATATTTCTGATCAATTAACATTTGGAATATATGTTTCAAGGTCAATGTGATACGAAATGATGCTTTATGGCAAAAGGAAAATTTTTATCAATTTTGTTAATATTAAAATTAGATTAAGCGTGTATAGCAGAAATAGAAGCAGTTTCAGGTGATAATGGATAGTTTCAACAGGATATCTAAATTTTCAACTGATAACCATATAAGATTTCATTATATATTTTCAGCACTCCAGAAAGTAATGGCAATTTCAATTGGTTCAATTGGTTGTTTAATTGAAAAGGGAGGCGCAACATTAGACCCATTGTGCTTTCGGGTTAATCTCATCAGCAAATTGGAGAATTTGGTAAAAACCAGATTTATAATAAGCAGTTAAAATAATTAATTTCATAAATTAATTTATATTAATTTTAGCAAAAAGATAAAGCAATAAATTTTATTTACTAAAATATTAACAAGTTCTTTAAAGTATATATATTAGTAGGTCGTATATCAACAACTTCGCGCGCAAAATATGCCAAACATAATTAGCAAATATAATCCACATAAATAATGAGCTCTGCACTCACTTGTTGAGTTTACTCGCCGAGCGAAAACTATTGACCCACGCGAAGCCGTTCCAATAGGTATTCGTGTCCGTATTTCTGTTGTAAGGATTATACGGGTAGTTGTTGGTGTTGCTGTAAGGGTTGTAGGTGTTAGCGGGGTTGTATGGATTATAGCCATATGGAAAGCTGGAAGGATTAGTATTAGTATTCCAGGAGTTTGAGTAATACTGGTTACGTGGGTAGGTATCTTGCCCAATAACCCATGGCCATATGCGAATATTTGTGCCATACCCTGTATATGGTGTGGTGCTCAGCTGTGCAAACTGTGGATTCGACGTCGCGTAAGGATACACAAACTGTGGTGCTGCCAACTGCGTGTAAAATAGAAATTATTTAATGAAATCTTAATAAATGTTTGATATTTTTCGTTGCTTGTATGTATTACCGTAAGTGTAACGGCACTTGCGCACAATAGGTAGGATAATAAGCCACTCATATTGCTATGATTTTTTTTTTTTTTTTTTTTTTTTTTTTTTTTTTTTTTTTTTTTTTTTTTTTTTTTTTTTTTTTTTTTTTTTTTTTTTTGTACTTTTCACTGTAAATATTTGTACACCAAATTTTGATCACCCACTGTTGACACTTTGTCTGTTAATCCAGAACTGTTTAAAAACTTGTGATTTTCGTTGCTTAAATAGCGTGGGTGAGTTTGCGGATTTTCTTCCAAAAAAAGTGTGTACAAATTCCGTTTTTTCGCGCATAGTTTCGCACAGTAAGCAAATATGCCTATTTTTGTTACAAATTATTTTAATTTCTCGCTTTTGTCATTGAACTTGACTTTGCACCGAGCAAGCAGCTCGCCCGAGTATTCGAGTATTTATCAGTAATTTGTTTAAACAGCAATACTGCATTTAAATTTTTATCAAATTATCGGAAAACTACTCATACGAAACGACAATTTGTGAGCATTTAAGCTGTGGATTTATATTGCGGCGCTTGACTTTATGTTTCATTTTGCGATACACGGAGAAAAACGGGGAAATGCCTACATACATTGTAGTCTTGAGAATGTATACATTTTTTAGTTATCACATAAAATAATTTATATAGTATATATATTTTAATATTTATATGTATGTTTATTTTCATTAAATTTAAATTTTATTAATTTCACAAAATTTTTCTCTGTAATACGAAAAGTTATGACGAAGTTGTTTAATTAATTTAATACATTTTCAATATAAAATTTAAATGTCGACGCTAACCCTGTTTTTGAGGTATCGAAAGATTCGAACAGAAGATATATTCATTATTCTCGAACAAACAGCAATCACACTGATTTTTACCAAATATGACTCAATTTTATTCTTATTATATCCTCATATGTATAAACTTCGCTTTCTCTTACAATTTTGAATAAAATCTTATGCCGGCTTAACCACTGATACGAAATTAGTAAACGTGAAATTATATAGTAAATACATAAAATAATGGATACACAGTCTACCTTTCCCCACCATTTACTTTAACCAAATATCGCACAGTGTAGCTCCAATACAGGGAATCACCCATTCCATCCATCCATTAGTCATGCTCGCTATTTCACCAAATTACAAAATCACATTTCTGCAATTTAATTATAATTTTTTAGAATTTTCATACATGGAATATTTGTTTAATAAAATTCATTTAATAAGCTCTAATCAAGCTCTCGACAAATATATTTTTGGATTCTATTTTGCACATTTTAATATTTTTGCATTAACTAATTGCTCCTATTAAACACCCAACAACAAGCCATTAGTCATTCGTCACAGATCGTTGATCTCTTATATTGTTGTCAACATAGTTGCTTCCGCATAATAGACTATACTTCAGCGAGAGCAACTCGCTTTTCACATCCACCTCTACGACTAAGTGTGCTTGCAAAAAGCAACATATGATTTCACAATTAATCTCGAAGTCATAGTTTTGAATCCGCTATGCGATATTGCGGATAAAGTATAATTACTACAATAATTTCTTTATTTATCGATACAATTTAACCATTAATTTGCAATAATAGGACAGGAGATTTGATATTATTTATTAACAAAAAACACCGAAACATAGCGATTACTTTAACCAGTTGAGAAACGCCTTTATTGAAAGAGAAACAATATACGTTGCAGCACCTTTTCGTAGATGTAAACCCTCACATCAAATTTCAGACGTATCGCATTCGTAGTTTTATTTAGGCATGCTGTGAAGACAGGAGTTCTGGACTGGATTCATCATATCCTGCTTATATAAGTATACACATTGCTTGCCAATTATAATAAAATAAAGAAAATCGAGAATTCATCTTCGTAGTAAGCATTGCAAACTATGTAACTTAATTAATTGCAAGACAAGTAATATATTGACCTTAAGATATGACAGAATTGAGCACAGTTTCTCTAGCATACATAGAGACCAAAAAAGAGACGAAACGGGCTCCGCAGAAAGTCAAGACTATACTATCAGCAGCAAAGGCAATGTGAGCTACATTGGCCACCTGAATAAGAGGAACTTGGCTATACTGTGCCGAATTATTGTAGGACGATTTTAGAAGCAATAATACCTACATCGTCGTCAGTGTCAAATCGATCCACTCAGCCCTCGTTTTCTTCAAGAAATGCCCTGCCTCCTAACCCGAAAAAGTCACGCCCCGGTTTCAGACCTAAAATAAACATATTTTCGTATGCTATATTAAAGAAGTTGGCGCATTGCTATACAAATCAGCAACTGGTAGTCTTAGTAGTTGTCGGAACACCTTCGTATTAACATAATATATGAAATGAAAGAAATTTACAATTACTTAGATGTAGTTTTGAATTTTCAAAAAGTGATTAATAAAAAGAAAACTACATCGACGACTACTTCCCATCACTTATTCTTTCATTTTGCAAGAAAATCAAGCATCGATATTCAGGGTTTGTCCGAAAGTAATAGGTCTGAGTCGATTTAAAAAAAAAAAATGTTCCAAGTATTGAAGCGTCACGTAAACATTCTCTGGAATGGTCTTGAGAGCCGAGGTGCATGCTGCTTGGATCCCCCCTGTCGTCTCAAAAGGCTTGCCTTTAATCGGGCTTTCAGACAAGGAAACAAAAACACATCCGGGCTGCACGGCGGTTGCGGAAGCATTTGGATACCGGCCTTGGTTAGGTAGCTGTTCACAAGAAAGGCGGTATGAGCCGAAGCGTGGTGCAACATCCAGTCTGCTGCGATGTCTTTGTCGTTCGTTTGAGTCTCTTAAGAACTCCGATCTTCATCTGCGATCTCTTCCTGGCCCTCAAAAAGGTCTGATGCCACCGAAACACACCACTTCTTCCTAAAGCAACATCTGGGTAACCCTGCTTGATCATGTCAAACGTCTCTGTAGCAGATTTACGGAGTTTCACACAGTATTTAATCACGTACCCCCAGTGTAACGACGCTGTATTTTCGGATTGCGCCACTGTCAGAAATACGTCATTGACGAAAATGTTTGTCCTGAGTCTCCAAGAGCTCGGATACAACTAACCAGCCGATGGTTCGGCAGCTTGGATCGTCCTCGTTCGGTCCGCGCACGCTCCTAAGCACAATCGCGGCGGAAGAAAATCAGTCCTATTACTTTCCGGTCAAAGTCTATTCAGTAAATTAAGCCCAAAAATGTAAAAATTGTACTTTGACTTTTTCAAGGACCCATAGACAAAATGTGTGAAGACCAGTGCATATGACTGCTTTACTACCAAACATAGAGGTCAATCTGAGTGAGATTTAGTATTGAAATCCGGGGAAAATATTTTTGTGAAGACACCATGCCATATGCCAAAAGTCTTTGCCGCAATATAGGTATTATAAATCGCAATATACAAAAACTGAATAAAAACAGGTCAAAAAATTCCCTAGCTATTATGGTCTTATAAAAGAAAATGTATAAGAAGTATATAAAATAAATGTATGTATATCGATCAATAAGTAAAATATCTTAATATACATAATTAATAGAAAATCTATAGAGACAGACAATCAGTAATCAAGGCAGTAACCTCGTATCGCATATCGGCCAGGAGTGTCTTGGGAAGCAGGATGGCAGTAGAAAGTTTCGTCAGGCACAGGCAACTTCACTTTCGCCATTTACATAATATACATATAATGGTTTTCATTAGACCAGAGTCTAATTGTAATTTTCCATCCTTTGGTTGACATTTTCCTCATATACCTCTTATATTACATTCGTTATCATTTTTTAACTGCTTACAAATTCCGATTCTTAATTATGTCGTGTAATTACTGTAATAATTAGGGCGTATATGGCGTTTGTTGTTTTGTTGTTTACAAAATTTTATTATCCATTCATAGATCGATGTGGTTGTTTTAACAATAATTTTTGCTATATTTATCTTAGGTCGCATTGGCATTAAAAAAAAGCCAAAAACAAAATACTTATTTTAATTACAAATGTGTTTTTAAAATTTGGAATATAATAGCAGGATACTGCACACAAACATTATGATAAAAATATCGCTACGAAATCAACAGTATAAATTAGATTTATTACTATGCTTCTAGGTACATACATATATACAACTACATATATAAATATATGTAAACACATACATTTTCTTTAAAATTTTACAATAACATATACAAAAATTATAAATAAGGGAAATCACTAATGCTAATGATTCATTTAATTATCGTAGTAAGAGCGTAAATATGCGACACTCAAATGGGTTGTTCGTAAATCTATTAACTTTTTATACACACACACTATATATTAGGACAGTTTAGTCATAAAAAACTACAAAAAATTACAAATTTTATAAATACAATTACTCCACTTAGCAAATTACTTGTCAAGCGGAGCAGATTGGGGTGTTTTTGGGAGAGTTGGGGTTGTAAGTGTTGTAGTTGGTTGGTGGGTGATGGGTAGCGGATGGTGCTTTAATAGTCTTCATCCTCGTCAGGCGGCTCTGTGGCGTACGTCAGTTCGTTCAAATAAAACCATTTCTAGAAAAGAAGAAATAATGAATATTTTTGTGGAATGCGGATATTTTAGAAAGCTGTTGAAAACTGCGTGGTTTATTATGATTTACCGGCGATTCAGTGCAGTTGAAGTTGTAGTCCCAATCACAGATGCGATACTCCTGATTGAAGGAAGTCTCGTTGGCGCACAAGTGCGGTATGCGATTGCCCTCCTCATCGCACATGTGGAAGATCTGCGGAAATTAAAATAAAAACAAGATCTTAACAAATAAAGCATACTTTCAGGCGTGTTGCGATCGTGCAAAAGCTGTTGTATCTCAGCTTACAGTTAACGCTTTGTAACTAACCGCAAACTTTACTAAGCTAAGCTCACGTCTACTTCTGCTGACTTCTATTTTTGTTGTTTTATTTTTGACTCACCTGACAATTGTACTCCATGTCGGCGTAGAAGCCAACCGGTCGATGCGTACAATCAAAAGAGAATGTGATATTATCTAAATTCGTCCACTCTTTCGTTTTGTGATTTTGAAACACTGGACTGGCGGCATCTTGTAACGTCAAGGCTGCAAGTAAAATTGGACCTGTGCACATGCAGCAATTGTGTTTTGGTTTTTGTGTCACAGATACGATACGAATAATTTGGTTAATAATCATTCAACAATATTTACAAGTTTGTACAACATGCCTGTTTTTGGTTGATTGGTATTTGCAACAAAAAAATCGAAATTTCGGATATTACAAAATTCAGTTGATTTATGTTAGTGCAACTGGTTAGTAAATGGTAAGAATTGAATTATTATGATCAAAAAAGTGTGTCATTGATAAAGTAAATTTAGTAAAAATATATTTTTTTGGAGAGAATTTAGAATTAAAAAAAAATGTGTAAAATATTATTTACAATTATTAAGTGGAATTGCCACAATTTTGTAATTAGGAATGGAAATTAAAAAATTTTAACTGTGCAGTTGTCATTACGGAAAGTAATTGCAGTTATTGAATAGGTTTGCCACCCTTAAATATTTGAAAAATCTAACATATGCAACTATGAGTTCTCAGTACTTGAATAAAAAAAGAGAGTTGCCACACTCGAAAAAATTTTAACAGATATGCGAAATGTATTATTTTTTTATCGAATAGAAATAAATATACTTTTAAAATTAATTTTCATACATAATATATATATACGAAACAAATTTAATACTCAACTTATTCATACTTCAAGACCTGGATTAATTAATTGAAAAATATGAAAATGCTATTTATATTAATTTATTAAAAAAATAAAAAAAATTATCTCTACAAATATGCAAATAAAATATCCATATTAAAACCATATAAAAAATGTATTTAGCAGAATTCAGAATATAACTATCTTCCACTAATGTAGAACAACTGTATGAATTATGAATAAGTTTTGCCACTATATTTAGCATTTACTGTTCTACGGGTATTTGTTAGGCGTGTGCTTTTCTAATGATACTTTTTTCGCAGTTGGTCTTTCTTGCAGGGTTTTCTTGATCCCAATGCATATTTTCAACAAAAAAATGTTATAGCGATGAAGCTCAATTCTGTTTGAATGGTTATGTTAATAACCCAAATTGTCACATTTTGACTTATGATAATCCACAAGCCATTGTTAAGACGTCGTTACATCCACATAATTTAGTTCTGAACATAACATCTTTCAAAAGGCCCCCACGTCTTCTTTTGCAGGAACGAGCTCGATGAACCCAATTTTCAAGAAGTTCTTCCACTAAATCGAGTCGTATGTCATGAAAAGCGTATTTAATATTGACTTCTAAAACTTGGGTCTTGAGATTCTGATTTATCGCTAGAGACATACTACTTCAAATAACATCCCACGAAGTAGTCTAATGGTGTTAAGTCACAACTTCTTGGAGGCCACTCAATGCCACTATTTCTTAAAATAATCGAATCTCCAAATTTTTCTCACAATAATTCAGTTGTTGCACGTGTTATGTGACACGTAGCCACATGCGGTCGGACCAGATGTTGTCTATACGAACTCTTAGAACTGCGGCCATTAAATGTTGGTTATGAAAACACAATGTCGTTTTCGGTATTTTGTTCAGAGTATCCAAGAAAGATTGAGATTGGAAACGTCTTTGCAGAAGTATAATAACTTTGAATCCAGCATTCTGCCCCATTAAGTTAAAACTGTTTTTATCTAACTGTCTGTTTTTATCTAACTGCCTTCAATAATACTGGAGAATCTTTCTTGACGATCAATCATTTCGACTCGAGAATTTTCTTCAAATGTAAATTTTTGGAGACTTTGTTGAATAAAATGGTGTTCATGTCCAGTGTCTCTATTACTTGTTTTTTGATACAAAATAATATGATTTAGGCTCTTTTATCGATAGTGAAATACAACGAAGCAGCAACAGAGTTGCAATTTCGATTTAATTTAATTTACAAGACACTCTTGAAGTTCAGTGCGGAAATATAAAAAAAGATAAGTACTCAAATGTCATTAATTTTTTTCTTATTTTCGACAATATATTAACAGTAAAAATTACGATTGACGAATAAAGCATTAGGGAATCAATTTGGACTTGACCTACTTCAAAACCCAAACTCGCCCAAAACTTGAACGCACTTGTTCGGATATGTACGTATGTACTTTCCGCTTGCTTTCACATTGCCTTCAAAGAAATATTCAAAATGACATTCGCCAATTTAAAAATAAAACAAAATGAGCAATTCATGTTAATACATAAAATATTAATTTTCAATAACAAGTTTTATATACAACCTAATTAATAAAATAAAGTTTTGTTTGTGTGTGTTTTTAATAAAAACAAATCGTCGAGGCCGAGAGGTAGCCATTAGCCATTAGCCAGCAACAATTACCAATTACCAATCGAAATGCCTTGGAGTAATTAATATATCAACAAATTAACCGTTACTCATCGCTGCATTAAAAATAACTTTTAAGCGCATTCAATGACATTTAAGCATATACAAATATAGATAAATACATACATATACTTTGTTTGCTCACCTAATAAAATGCCGGAAAGCCATAGAAAACGTTTAGTGTAATCCATTTTCGTCCATAGAAATATTCCCCGTATGCGCGAAAATCTGTACTTGAGTTTTACCCATACGCTCCAAAAGCGGAGCTCACCAGCTAGTCCACTCCGATGTTGGAACAGCTCTAATGTTGTGCGTCAACGGCGGGGCAACGGAGGCCAAAAGAAAGCGACAGGCTGGGGTTTTATACCAAGCTGGGGTTTATACACTTAAATGTGCAGGTGTATATTTTATTCGTATGTATTTAATGCGTTTGTTTACGCCAAGCCCATGGTGATTATGTTACTTTAAGCAAGGCCTGCATAATTCGTAGAAGCAGAAAGTAATGCAAAAAAATTAGGTGCTGACAGGTGTCTTCACTTTGGCAAGCACGAGCCACTCTCACATGCGGTGCTGTTGTTCAGTTCTTTGGCCTAAATATTAACCGAAGTCGTTGACATTGCTTTGGCTCGTGGTGGGGTCTGCGGTCAGTTGGTTAGTTGGCTTTTAAAAGGCGACAAGTTGGTAATTAAGAACTTCACTGCAACAAAGAAAGTGAAAAATTTTATTAATATGGCACGCGTATTAGTAACAAGGGCTGGAAATTGTATTATGTTAATATTACAAATGTATTTATTTCTTGGTTTTGCAGTTTTCTATTTGCTAAACTATATAATTTTCATAGAAGTTAAGTGGCTTTAACGTCGAATTCAGTATTTGCTTTGCAGGTTTCCCAAATATTTTTCAGTCGTGTTTCAATGTTTTTATAAATTTCATAAATAAACTAACTAACCCCACAAGCGTTGTCTTGCGTAAAACTATGTGTTTTGAAATGAAAAATAGTTGATTGTACAATGTTTTGTGTTTAAATCATTTATTTACGATTTTCCCAGATTTTTAAACAACATTTTTTGGATTCTGTGCCTTGTTGATTGTCATTTCAAATGCAATTTTCCCTGGAAACTAAGTAGGTTTGATCTGAAATGGCAAATCGTTGGAACTCGAGGAATCAAGCATTCTGCTCCCTTGTATTGGATAACTACGTCACAATTAGTCGGGTTCCATTACACTATTTCGGAGCATGAAGATTGCGAAACATAATAATGACAGATCCAACTATGAGACGCAAATGATGCGGCGGCATACCAATCCTCTTCACAGAATTTAGAAATTCCACTGGATAATGCACGGCTTCGTCTTCATTGTCAAGACGATCGGAATTTGCCCATTTCCAATTCTTAGCGAATACGATGTAAAATGTCTTTGGCAATGTAATATTGTTTGTGTCCCATAAGTGACGCAGACTTGAAGGCTGATATGTTGAAATGATCATCGCGAAAAGTGTGCGAACTTCAGTGACATGCGAAGTACCTATCGCATCGTTCATCGTTTAATTCCAGCGATTACCATGTTGTAGCAATTGTAATTGCTGGCATCCATCTCAAAAAGTTGCACATAACGTACCATTCACAGTACGCAATGACTGAAGAATGAAGATGAACCGCGTACATTAATCAATAGCAACGGAAGGTAGAAGCAATCGCATCATTGCGGTTGATGTGTCTGATCTCATCTGATTCAAGACCAATAACCGCCATGTTGCTTTCTTTGATGACGTAATTGCAAACATATGTATTTGATCGATTTCACCATTGACATAAGTTTTTAATGTGAATTAGACAACAGTGGCGAATATGTTACGATCCATGTGTTGTCGACCTCGATATTCACTCCTCTAAGTTGAATACTATTTTTCTGCCATTGTCGTCGGGTAAGCTACGCCGATAGAGTGGATATCCATCATTCCGGTTTGCGTTTCCGAAAGAAAAGCACGTGGATTGTGATGTACGCAAGGTCCATGAACCATACTGGTTTGCACCACTTCGTATAATTCTGGATCTATCTCGAGATCTGCAATTTCCACAGAAATGACTTCGTAAATTTGATCTGGTGTAACCACAATCCACAGCACTATATATACAATACCTTGCTCAAAGAAAAAGTCCTTCAAGTACTTGATCACTTTGTGCGAAACACACATAAAATTTTTATACTCTCGCAACAAAGTTGCTAAGGAGAGTATTATAGCTTGGTTCACATAACGGTTGTTTGTAAGTCCCAAAACTAAAAGAGCCAGACATAGGGTTATATATACCAAAGTGATCAGGGTGACGAGTAGAGTTGAAATCCGGATGTCTGTCTGTCCGTCCGAACGTGCAAGCTGTAACTTGAATAAAAATTGAGATATCATGATGAAACTTGGTACACGTATTTCCTGGCTCCATAAGAAGGTTAAGTTCGAAGATGGGCAAAATCGGTACACTGCCACGTCAACAAAATGGCGAAAACCGAAAACCTATAAAGTGTCATAACTAAGCCATAAATAAAGATATTAAAGTGAAATTTGGCACAAAGGATCGCACTACGGAGGGGCATATTTGGACGTAATTTTTTTTTGGAAAAGTAGGCGTGGTCCCTAGCTATATCAACCAAACTCTACAGAGTTGTTTCATTCAGGCATTCCCATATATAGCTCAAAAATGGAAGAAATCGGATAATAGCCACGCCCACCTCCCATACAAAGGTTATGTTGAAAATCACTAAAAAAGCGTTAACCGACTAACAAAAGACGTCAGAAACACTAAATCTTACGCAAGAAATATCAGAAGCAATCTGCACCCAGGCTTTTTTTAAAAATTGAAAATGGGCGTGGCGTCGCCCACTTATGGACCAAAAACCATATCTCAGGAACTACTCGACCGATTTCCTTGAAATTCGGTATATAATATTTTCTTAACACCCTGTTGACATGTACGAAATATGGGTGAAATCGGTTCACAACCAAGCCTTCTCCCAATATAAGGCTACTTTGAATTCCATCTGATGCCTTCTCTGTATAATATATACATTAGGAACCAATGATGACAGCGGAATAAAACTTTACACAAATACGGTATTTGAGCTGAGGTACCCTTTGTGGAGAAGTTGTCATGGTCGGACTATTTTTTCAAGGTCCTTGATATCGAACACGAAGAACTCAGTGCCTAACCTAACAGAGGGCATCATTTTTATACTCTCCCAATAATAATAACGGTATATATCGTCAGATATATGGTTACATATACCAAAGTGATCAGGGTGACGAGTAGAGTTGAAATCCGGATGTCTGTCTATCCATCCGTGCAAGCTGTAACTTGAGTAAAAATTGAGATATCTTGATGAAACTTGTCGTGCGAGAGTATAAAATGTTCGGTGACACCCGAACTTTGCTCTTCCTTACTTGTTATTGAACAATTTTCAACACTTTTTCTTTTGAATAGCCAAAATAAAAAGCTAGCGACCGAAATTGAACGATTCGAATAATTTACAAAACAAAATATTAAAGAACAAATCAAAAAAAAATTTATAGAAAAACGTTTAGGAGTATGGAAAATTGATAGTAGCCGATTCTCAGATCACTGAATACGCATATAAAATTTGGTAAAAATCTGGTTAAACTAACATTTTGACATGGAAATTTTATATATTAGATAAGGAATAAAAAAAAATCAATGTAGTCTTGATTAAAAACTGCTATAACTTGTCTTCAATCTTAAATTTACATTTCGTGCGTCAGAGTGGGTCTACTGATGACTGGGTGCTGTATACAACGGGACTTGCAATTGCCCGAGTGAAGGAAAGCAAAGAGGAATTCATGGAAAGGCTTCTGCCATGAGGCCTCTAGATTCTGGGGTATTCGCAAAGAATCTCCTATCGCCGGATTATCTTAAAGACGCAACACGTCCTTCCTTGATATTGAGGGAGCCTTCAACAACATCCTACCGGAGGCGGTCGTTACAGCTCTGGGCGGTCTTGACAGGACAAACCTTATTTTATTACAGTCTTCTGGGATGGGACAATGAGCGTGTGCGACGAAACGTGAGTAAGGGAACACCACAAGGTGGAGTTCTCTCTCCTCTTCTTTGGAGCCTGGTCGTAAGCGACCTGCTTAGAAAACTTGAAGATCGTGGCTGCAGGGTGATTGCCTCTGCAGACGGTACAGCACTTATGGTCAAATGAAAGTTCCTGTGTACTATTTACGAATTGACGCAGGGGTACCTCGGCGTCGTAACCGATTGGGCAGTCGAAAACGAACTCGCCATCAACCCAAACAAAACCGAGATCATTTTATCCACCAGAAGATATAAAATCCCGACCGCACGGCTGCCGCGAATGGAACATCCATCTGCAACCAGTGGAAGTGGTGAAGCATACTACAGCTTCGGTGCAACCGAATTTAAGTTTTTCTAGTCTACTTTTACACAATTTTCATATCGATAACATTACCACGGTAGCATTGCGACAATCTGACATGATGACAAATTTATAAAAATCTCGAAAGAATATGATCTGTTTTTAAATGCTTGTTTATTGTTTTTATTTTTATTGCAACTGTTTTCCGATTATTCTCAATCACAACACAAAAATCTACATGCCACCTATGTATCTTGCATATTGTTTACAATCCACATAAAATGTACAAATCCATTAGCTGGTGGGCGCTTAAGCCGTTGTACAAATTTCCGCACTAAATGCCGTAGGCACATAATTGCAAGTCAGCTTCAGAAGTGCTAGTGGGTAGTGCTTAGATTAAATATTACTGCTTATGTGACACATCAGTGTTGTTTTTTAAATACACCAATTATATCATTTGCATGGAAATTATAAAACGGAATGAAAATTTGTTTGGTCACAAAGCGAGCAGGTGTTGCCATGTTTTTTTTTTTTTTTTTTTTTTTTTTTTTTTTTTTTTTTTTTTTTTTTTTTTTTTTTTTTTTTTTTTTTTTTTGTTTTTTGTCGTTCTGTAAATGAAAGAGTCTTTTGCAGTTTTTAAAATGGTTTATATCTGATTAATCAGTTCAAAAAATTAATAAATATATAAAGGAAGAAATGAGCTTAGCACTTCTAATAAAAGTCATGAAGTAAAATCATAAATTATTTCCGCGCTTATTTCATGCCACGATTGTTTGCTTAAAAATATTGAACTTTAATTCTGTTTAGAGGGAAAAGAGTGAGAAAAAGTGCTTTGCTATAAAAATTCTTTATATTAAAATGCACCATTTGAGTATATGCAGTGGGACTGAGCGGTGACTCAGCTCATAAACAAGTTAACAAGTGTAGGCCCGAAACAGCGTCAATAATTTAATTGTTTTTGCTTAAGTGTATGGTAGACATTTTCAGCTTCATTAATTTTTAAGTGCAAAAGCATTTTCTTAGTTATCTTGCTGCAAAATATTTTCGAAATAAATGAATTTTTGTCATTGAATTATAATGACACCGGATGAGATGACGTGGTTATACAGAATTGTATGCGGAAGAAGAGAACTAAAAGAGAGGAAGCATTTTCGTTTTAGCTTTCTATATGGATCTGTACGAAGAGATTTATCAACTCGATCGATTACATACAAATCCGACCACGTTACATCATCATGATCCGCAGTATGAATTTTATTTTTTATTTATAATTATTATTGATTTATTGGAAATTGGAAACTTCCAATA